TAATGATTATTGTGTCCTTGTTTGTGAGGCTACATCGTTAATCTCTCCCTCTTTATTTTTCGAGAAGTTAGGAACATGTCTTTTTCATTATCCCCTTTCTATCTTTCCGCTTTTTATTCCAGCTTCAATCCTTTCACCAATAGTTACTAAGTCAGAGAATCCAGAAGAGACGATTTGTACCATCTTTTCATAATATAACCCTTGCAAAGTTCCCATGAACATATCAACTAATTATTTCTCCATAAGTGTTGGTTGTACTCGGGTTGCCATTTCTCTCCATCTTTGAGCATACTCCTTGAAAGACTCCTCTTTTTTCTGAGATAAGTTCTGGAGTTTCATGCGGGTAGGCGTCGTGTCCAAGTTATATTTGTACTATTTCAGGAAAGCATTAGCAAGATCTTCCCATGTCTAGATATGAACTCGTTCCAACTGCATGTACCAATCAAAAGATGCCCCACTCAGACTGTTTTGGAAACAATGGATCATCAGCTTTTGATCTTGAGAATAGGCATGCATCTTCCTGCAATACATGCATAGATGTTTTCTTGGACATGTGAGTCCCTTGTATTTTCCAAATTCAGTTACTTTGAATTTTAGCGGGATCACCACATCAGGAACTAGACCCATCTCGAGAGCATCGACATCGAAAGCATCGTAATCCTCCACGGCCTTTAAACTTTCTTCAAGTGATTTGTATTGGTTGAGCGCCAATGGATTTTCAGTGGCATGTGTATGGGTTGTATTTTGTGGTACTTGATTAACATCTTCAAGTCATGATCCCCATATTGTAAGTCTAAGTAATTGTCTGCGTTGTTGATCGAAATTTGCAATGTATGAGATGCCCCTACCTTTAGTGGAGGTGGGACAAACCCTTCAATATCAGCTTGTCTTATTTCTTGTTGATCCATATTTGACTTTTGGGGTCCTGACTCCAGTTCTCTTCTTGGTTGGTGACCACTCGATGCACCGATGATTTGGGCTACTTCTTCAAAGGCCGCCCTAGGTATTTGTTCTTGCCTTTCAATAATGTTCTTCAAGGCTATAAGAACTTGACTCATATCTCATTTCATTGAGTCGACATTACCCTTAACTTGTTCCAAATCCTCCTTGAATGTAGCTTGATTCTCTTCAATTTGTTCCTTCACTTTTTGTTGATGGGCTCTTGTCTGATATAGTGGTCGGAGAGGCAGTATTTTTCTTGCTCTTCTACCAATGGTTTAGTTGGATAAGGTTTTTTGAAAAAATGATGAGTCTTTTTGTTATGAGTTTATGAGATGCAAATGCTTGTGAATGCATGAATACGTATGAATATGCTACGGGTTTCGTCTTTTAATGTCTTATTCACTTGGATATACACTTATATATATATATATATATATATATATATATATATATATATATATATATATATATATATATATATATATATATATATATATATATATATATATATATATATATATATATATATATATATATATATATATATATATATATATATATATATATATATATATATATATATATATATATATATATATATATATATATATATATATATATATATATATATATATATATATATATATATATATATATATATATATATATATATATATATATATATATATATATATAAGGCTTTGCTTTTTATTGGTGAGTATCTAAAAAATAAATATACAAATGAGATACGGAAATAAAATGCCTTTATTAAAATAGTAATTGTCTTTAAAAAAATAATACAATTCAGATATTGAAAAATATTCAAACTTAAAACAATAACACGTGCTAAAATAAATAATCAAAGGAAAACAAGATTCTTCTAAGTTCTCCTGTGGATTTCTACTCTTAAGCCATCAACCATCGTCCTATAAAGTTTGAGAAATTTTTCGACGTCTTTTGGAAGAGGGACCATTACATTCTCCGTATTTCTTAAGCTTCTAAGGATGTCGCCGATAAGATTGTTGGCTAAGAAGGCGAGTCTTGCATGTTTTTCCTTATAGAACTGGTATTCGTGGTAGAGGTCTGGAATTATCTTATGATTGTCTTTTCCTGCTTTAGCGATCTTTACATACTGCTCTTCCCAGTATAACTTTTCAGCTCTCATCTCCGTGAATTATATGAACAGTACGTTCTAAGAGTGCAGAAGTTACTTCAACTTATGACATTGTGGCTGAGGTTATAAATATAGTTTTCTCTTTACAACCGATGTATATCAAATTTTCAGAGAGTCAATCCTTCTCAACACTACATCTATCTTCTTAAATGACAAATATATCAAGTCAATTGAGAATTTGATCTTTAACAGTAATACAACAATCATCACACATCAGTTAATCTCTATGCTACTATATGTGACTGTGATGACTACCATTGAAGAAAATATTAAAACCACTTTTAAATTGAGTCTTTCCACACATTTAATTAAAAGGTTTAAATAAATTTTTGCTCCCTCTAAATATCAAAAAATTTGTTTTTAGTCCCTCTAAATTTTTCCTTTAAAAAATGGTCTTCTTAAAAAATTAAATTTTAATTTTTGGTCTCTCCTGAGAAAATCATAGCTAAAATAATCTCTAATTTCATCGCTAAATAAAAATCGTCGTTAAAAGCGTCGCTAAATTGTAAAAACTGTCGCTAAATTACAGAAATAATTAAAAATTAAAATTTAATTTTTTAGAATAGTCATTATTTGAAGAAAAATTTTAGAGAGATTAAAAACAAAATTTAAAATATTTAAAAAGACCAAAAATTATTTAACCCTAATTAAAATGAATGAGTGTGATGCTCCTCAGTCAAAAGGTATAAAGAGTGGTTTTTTTTATAAGCAATATTGTATTAAAAAGGTGATTTTTCACATTTCTAAAAAAGTGATTTTTCACATTTCTAAAAAAGTTATTTTTCACTTAGTATCGATAACGTTTCTCATAAAAGCGCTCTTAAATTGACGTTATGTGGTTTTCATCAACACCTATTCATACTTTCGAATTCCATCCCTATATTTTATGCATGCTACCTATCTTCTTCTTTTTTATTAGTATTTATTTAATCTCTCCGTCTTATTCTTATTCATTTACAACTTTACATGTATTATTTTGTGGCGGCTCTATGGTCCTTCCACGAAATTCTCAAGGAATAAATTGTATAGTTATTGCGACTTCAACGATGTTGAATTGTATTCAATTAGAGTTTTGTTAGGTTTAAATAGATATATAAAAAGTGGCTGAGTAGTGGATGGAAGAATCATCATATAAATTATGTAAGATGATAGGTAGACGTGCTTTGAGAGAGATGTTTGAAAAAATAATTTAAATTAATTTTTTATATAAGAGAGATGTTTAAGAAAATAATTTAAACTAATTTTTTCGATATTATAATTGTTTGACGCGTTTAATAGAGATATATTGACAGTGTAAAAAAGTTTTACATTGATATTCAATAAAAATATATTATTTTATCATATTATATCAGAAATTTAAAATTTTCATTATGATTTTTTACAGAATATATAGTCGTGATTGATTAATAATATAAAATAAATTTATATTATCAATACATCATCATTTTTATTATTATTTAACCATTATAATTATATAATTAATGAAGTTTTTTAATTTGACTTGAATTTATATATATATATATATATATATATATATATATATATATATATATATATATATATATATATATATATATATATATATATATATATATATATATATATATATATATATATATATATATATCAAAGTTTAATATTTAACTGTATTTAGTTATATTTATATATTAATATAAAAAGATTGATATTTATAAATCAACTATTTAAAAATAAATTATATTAACAATACATTAATGTTAGTATGTAATGTTAGTATTTTCTTATTTTACAATATAAAATTTATATTAAGTTATAAGAAAAACACTTGTAAATTTTTCTTATTTTACAATATAAAATATATATATATATGTTATAAGAAAAATATTAACGAATGTGTCTGAATACGGATGAAGAGATTAAAAAAATAAATTAGATATTTTTTAAGTAATTAAAAAGATAAGCTTTTTTAAAACATGCGTATTTAATGTATTGAAAATATAAATAATTAACTTTTTTTAAAAATATTATGTATATTTAATTTATTGAACATTACATTTTTTTATTTAAATTCTTAACGTGGGACACGGGTTAACATGACATTTAAAATCATCAAACTAGACTAATTCACTTTTTTTTACAAGTTTTTTTTAGTAATGACCTCTATTTCTATGGGGTTGGTAGAAAGTCCTAGTCAATAGACGCACTGGAAAACTAAAACTAGAGAAGAGAATTATAACTTATTATTCTTGTTATTAATTGTTTTATCTCCAACTTGCGGTAACTTTACTAAAACACACAAAAAAGTTAACTTAAAAGACCAAAACACCAAAATACAAGTCATAAATTATTTATTATCATTAATATATAGCTTTAATCCCTTTTTGCAGCATCTTTCTTAATCAACATTATAAATAAAAATGTTATTCTAAATCTGAACTCAGTTTTCTATATATAAACATGCATTAATGTATATACACTGTCACACGTTAATGCTATTATATAGTATTTCATAATTCATATATCTTTTATATATATATATATATATATATATATATATATATATATATATATATATATATATATATATATATATATATATATATATATATATATATATATATATATATATATATATATATATATATATATATATATATATATATATTATATATATATATATATATATATATATATATATATATATATATATATATATATATATATATATAGGAGGGGATTGTCTCCAATCAATTTACCATCTAATGAAATCTATACCATACAATAAAATATTATAAATTCAAAAACATAAAATTGGAATTATATAATATATATATATATCATCATTCGTTCATTCATATTTCTTGCTTATATATAATTTTGTTTTGCTTAGGCATTTCTTAAAGCAATGGATTCCGAACAACCATATAAAGATTATCTTTTGTTGAAACCAAAGGAGGCAAGTGTTTTAGAACTAGGTTGTTTCTTGTGTTCATCAAACACAAGAAATAGAAGATTCATTGATTGCTCCGAAGGACTTGAAGTTAGAGAGTTTGGACAAAGATGGCTTCTTTTCATTTCTGTTGTTGCACAAAAGGTTCTTGATGCCTCGGAACCCTTGTTGAAAATGGTAGGAGACATGTTGGAGTTGTGGCTCAATCGTATAGCAAGTAATGGAGGATTCATTGGGCTCTTCTTCAACATTCTTAGAGGTTAATTGTCATTTCATCACTAATTAATGTTTCTTTGTTCATGCGCTTTTTTTTTATAATTATTTTTCTTTCTTTTAACTCTTTTATACATTATTTCAATCGTTAATTACGTTCCGATCGATCATCAATCATAGTTGAGACTTTAATTTTTGTTTTTTTTTTAAATCAAAGATATAATAACACCTACTTAAATAAGATATGTTCTATAAACCTGCATTATATTATACTTGATTTATAAATAGACAATAATTAAAATTTTGGTGATGATAAACTATTTGTGATCAGGCGTGATTACCCGTTAGATTTGATGTTTTCATAGATTGTATAGATTGTATGCATTTATGCACTTAGAATCAAAGACAATTTAATTTTGGATGATTAAAAAAATAACTCAGATTAATGACGATCTTTAACATTGCTTATTTTTAATTTTTTAAGAAATTTAAACTAAATATAATCTGAACTCAATCGTATAAAAAATTATAAATATCTTAATTATATAGAATATTATAATTGATAGTCTTAGTTTTATTATCTAATTTTATCGAATCTTCGTTTTTAAATATATTATTTTTTATATAAAAAAATTCAAACTATAATACAGGAGAGATGATAACGCTGGAAAAGTCGTCACCGGAGTTCTTATCGGTGGTGGGACACCTTGACCCCAGAGTTGATTTAGACAAAAATATTCATCAAAATGATTTAAAGTACAAAGGATTACTATGTATCATGGCTTCAAAATTTGCTTATGAGAATGAACAATTTATTAGCACCATGGTTACAAATCATTGGGGTGTAAGTTCTAACTACTTATAATTACATGCATTATTTTATATTATTTTATACTTATAAGCACTATGGTTGGTTGCAGATGGAACTTTTGGGTCAATACAACTTTTGGAACGGTAAGCACATGTATTACCATTTTTTATGAGATTATATTATCATGTTGATTAATTGTATATTTATTTTAAATTAACGATACATAATTAATGATAAAAAAAAGTCAAATAATATAATATTACTTAAGAAAATTTTACTGTAACATCTACTTTAATAGTGATGTTTCGTCATTTCTCTGTACACTTTTAAATTTATAAGTCAAATCATCATCATATTTATATTATATATATCCATCACATAATAAATTAACAATTTTGTTATCACTATCATTCATTTCTTTTTTGTTTTTTTAATATATTTTTTTCATTACATTCATGTTGATTGTTGATTTGGAGTTATGGAGAATTTTCTATATGAAGTAATGTGGGTGCCTTAAATTTAGACGTCTTTTTCTCGGTTTCTTTGACAAATAAGAGAATTCATTCTGATAGAATTTTGATTATTTTTAAATTTATTTTTAGGCTCTTCAATTATAACATAACACATATTAAATAAGACTAAATGCTACTTGTGCAATGTACAAATCAATTTTTCATAATTTTTTTCTTAATTTTATTAAATATATAGCTTAAAATACATTTATAAAGATAGATGTTGTAGTAAAAAATAAGAAACTTTTAATGGTGTGTTTGAATGAGAGAATTAAAAAATAAATAAAAATTTTAAGTAATTTAAGAATTTCAATATCATCCCTTTTTATTTTTAAATTTTCTTCGTTGAATAGAATATTAATACTATTCATTTTTAAATATTTTATGTTATTTTTCTAAAATTTAAAAAACTTCGGTCAAATAGTTGAAATTATTTGAGATCTAAATGTAATTTTTGAAAATCGAAACTATTTGAGATCAAAATGGAATTTTTGAAAATTGTAGAAAAATCAATTTGGCATTGATCAAATTATATAGAATGGGAAAGAAATTTCAAATTTACTCTTAAGTGTCTATTAAATTATCAAATTTACTCTAAAGATTTTTATCAAATTACTTTTAAAAAATTTTAAAAAAAAAAAATTACTAAAATATTTCATCCAAATCACTCTAAAAATATAATCTAGATAAACATTTTGATAGTTTAATAGATGGGGATATACAAAACTTTTAGTCTGTTCAATTTTTTAGTATTTGTTTCATTCATGATAATTAAACATTCTAGAAAATTGTACTCATATTCTTTGTTGTTAATAAAGTTCGATGAATTTTTGTCTATAATTTAAATTTTTATTTTAAAGAAAAACAAAGTATAATGAAATAATAATATTAAGAGTATTATAGAGGAAACATAAATAATTACATTAAAAATAATTTTATTACATTAATGGTATTACTATGTGTAAACTTATGAAAATATAGTTATTAAAAAATAAGGAGTACTAAATATGACATAAAATTTTATTATAACAGGTTCAACATACGTTTTACTTTTAAGATATTTAGATACGTATACAATGATATGAATATAAAATGATATGAATATAAAATATAACATGTGTAAGATCTAAAAACCATAGTTAATACCAAAAAAAAAAGAAAAAAAAGAATAACTAACATCACATAAAATAATATCCGGACATATCTAAATTGTGAGATCTATAATAATAGATATGAAATGATTTGTATATAATCATGTGATTGTTAAATACATAATTATTATTGAATTAAATGAGTATTAATTAAAATTGTATGATAATATAAAAATTCATAATTATTAAATGATCACAATATAATGGTAGAAGTGGTCGTTAGAGGGAGAAAAATAATAGAGACAAATAGCATAATAAAATACGGACTTTGATTTTCTAACATGGTTGAACTATCATGTTCTAGCCACTCATTTTGGTCTAATATAATTCTTAAGTAGCATGAAAAACATGTGTGTATGAAAAATATGAGAGAGAGTATTAATGGCTCTTAAGTAGCATGAAAAACATTTGGTCAAAAAAAAAAAGTAGCATGAAAAACATGTGGAGAGAGAGGGAGAGAGATGGTAATTATCTTCAAAGGCATAGGAGCAATATTAGATCTGAGTTGTTATCTTCATACCACACAATAATTAAGATGAAGGGGAAAAAAGGATAGAAGAGAAAAAATAGAAGATGTATATTACTGTATCAAAAGATAGAAAAGTATCATATGTTAACAGTACAATGTTATTATATATATATATATATATATATATATATATATATATATATATATATATATATATATATATATATATATATATATATATATATATATATATATATATATATATATATATATATATATATATATATATATATATATATATATATATATAAGGGTCAATCTCCAAATAGACACAATAGCACACTTATATTAAGCAGCTTAGACAATGTCTTTAATAGTTCCCTCAAACTGAAGGTAAATAATCAGCTGATAAAACTTCCAGTTTGCTTCTTAAGTCCTGAAAAGTTGTTGTGCCAAGTGGTTTTGTAAGGGTATCAGCTAGTTGAGCAGCGGCTGACACATATTTGATCAACATTCTTTGAGCAACTACTCGTTCTTTAACGAAATGAATGTCTAACTCAATGTGTTTAATTTTGGCATGTAACACGGGATTGTGAGAGAGCAAAACAGCACTTAAGTTATCACAGAGAAGAGTTGGTGTGTGAAAGGGACTGTGAAGTTCAAGTAATAAGGATTCAAGCCATAATAACTCAGATGTGGTGTGTGCCAGTGCCCTATACTCAGCTTCAGTACTAGATCTAACTACAAGCGACTGCTTTTTAGAACTCCATGCAACCAAATTGGGAGCAAAGAAAATGAACGAATCTGAGGTGGAGCGCTTGTCATCAGGGTCACTAGCCCAATCTGAATCACTATAGACACGAAGGGAGAACTTTGGAGCTGAAACTGATGGTGCCAGAAGGAGCCCGTGATTGACTGTGCCACTTAAATACTTGAGCATTCTTCTAACAACAGCCCAATGATCATCAAGAGGATTGAACATGAACTAACATGCCTTATTCACACTAAAATCCACATCTGGTCTGGTCAAGGTCACATACTGTAGTGCTCCTATTATGGACCTGTAGAGTTAAGCATCAGCAAAAGTATTGTCACCATGCTTACTTAATTTGCAAGTTGTCAATATTGGTGTAGGCATTCCATTGGCATTACCCTCTTTGCTCTGCATAAGAGATCTTTGATGTATTTTACTTGAGTGAGTAGGATTGAACCATTAGAGAGATGTTTCACTTCAATACCAAGAAAGTAGCTAGGTTTTCCCAGTTTCTTCAAGGAAAATTGAGTGTGCAGTTTGGTGATCAACTCATGAATTAAAGGAGAGCTAGAGCCAGTGATCAAAATATCATCAACCTACACTAAAGCATATAAAGTCACACTTTTGTTTGCAATATGTAAAGAAAGAACTATCACACCTGGAGGATGTAAAACCAAATTGGAGAAGAGCCTGAGTTAGTTGCTCATACCAGGCTTTGGGAGCTTGTTTTAAACCATATAGGGCCTTATGGAGTTTACACACAAGAGTTTTTTTAGAACACATAAATCCTGGGGGCTGAGACATAAATACTTCCTCATGAAGCTTGCCATTCAAGAAAGCATTGTTAATATCAATTTGTTGAATATCCCAGTTATAGGTTATAGCAAGAGTGAGGATGACCATAATGGTGGTAGGTTTGACCACGGGATAAAATGTCTGTGTAAAATCAAAGCCTTGCTCCTGATGAAAACCTTTGGCAACTAATCTTGTCTTGTATCTGTTAAGACTCCCATCGGCATTCTGCTTTATTTTGAAGACCCACCTACACCCCACAACTTTTCTATCAGGTGGTAAGGTGGTTAAAGACCATGTTTTATTAGCTTGTAAAGCATTATATTCAACCTACATAGCCTTAGCCCAAGAGGGTTGAAGCAACGCTTGTTTGAAGCTGGTTGGTTCAGACTCAGTTTATGCTATAAAGGCCTTAGGTTTGAAGTGACCAGTCTTGACTCTAGTGAGCATGGGATGATTGTTTTTAGTTAGTGACACCAAAGGTTTACTCCTAACAATAGTAAGAGATTAAGAGGAGTCTGAAATGGGAACACGGGAGACAGCTCAATGTCAAGATGAGCATTTTTCTTATTAGAATCAATAAGAGGAGTTTCTGAGATTTTAGACTTAAGTACTGAAGTAGATACCTCAAGAATATTGTCCTCTGGACTTTCAAGAGTATTTTTGGAGGAATCCCTTTCATGATCCTTAGTATAAGAGGGAGTATTAGGTTCAGTACTAGTGACAGCTGGTAAGGGATTAGAAATGCAATAAGTTGTATTATTTAATGATGTAGACCTATCAGTGTTATGCATGGTTTTAGAGTCTACTGCAGTAGCAGAGTGTGCAAATCGATGAGATAAGAAAGGTGAGATAGTAGAAAAATGAGGCATAATTTGATCATGAGGGGACTTGTTATGAATATTGTTAGTAGACTTAGTCTGGTCAAAAGAATCGGGCACAAATAGGCTGGATCCTTGTACTATATTAGGTTATATGATAGGCACATGTGTTTGAGAGTGAATAGGAATGGCTGGATGAGACAAAGGTAAACTAGTGCCAGATAGGATAGGACATTAACAGAGGTTATTTGAGTACCACCATTAGAGGTATTCAGTGGGGAGCATTCACCGGGAAACAATTTGGAGAAGGGAAAGCTACTCTCATTAAAGGTAACATCTTCAGATATATATATTTTTTTCCATTAGGACTCAGACATTTGTATCTCCTATGTTGGGGAGATATACCTAAATACACACATTTTGTGCCCCTGGGTTGCATTTTGTGCTGGTTAAAAGGTCTAAGTAAAGGAAAACATGAGCAACCAAAAGTTCTTAGAGACTTATAATTCGGTTGTTTTCCATAAAGAGCATGAAAGAGTGAATGAAACTCTTTTAAAGGTGTGGTACGTAACTTATTTATAATATGAACAACATTATTAAAATAATGATCCCAATAAGATAAAGGTATGGATGAATGAGAGAGC